GTCCTATAGGAGGTCGGTCACGGCCCGGATAGCTCAGTGGTAAAGTCTCTAACTATGAAGTTGGGTGACACGGGATCGAGTCCGCCGGGGAGCACCAGTTCCCTCAAAGATCACAGGTACACCTTGCTGACGAGTGCCAAGTAGCATGAAACCCGGGTCCAGGATTTCCTGTCGACTACCTCCAATCACCATCGAATCACGCAATACGATTGATAAAATTGGAAACTATTAACAAAATCGGTCAACGGACTGACTTGTAATTACCAATAAATAGTGTTGTTTTCTCGGTATATTTATCCATTACAGATTATTTCAGTATGTTTCTCTATCAGTTGTTCATTCAATAAATATCTCAAAACATTGTCAGTCTAATTGGACGTTTAGCGACACAATCATGCGTGCAAATCATTAATTTTATGCAGTTGAGCAAGCCTCCTGCAAAATGAAGACGTCAATGTCGAATTTACCACAACACTGACTAAGGTTCAAGCCATTATCATAGACATGAGCTGGGAGTGTACTCCCCTTGGTTACAACTTATGTTCTCCCTGATAATCACATGAGCATCACTCACTGTTATTTATCTTGTAAAAACGTATTTAGCCATATACATCTTGCAGCATCACATCACCTAGAAATGTGGCACACAGGCTTAACTGATGTCAACAACTTATAATCACTATATCTCAATGAAATAGCATTCCGTCCTATATTGAACTGCATACTTGCAACTAACTTGTATGCACCACCAGCCGGTAGGTATAAATATAAATAAATAGTATGTGGCAAGGCAGAACATTGAGTCAAGAATATGTTTCTTACGACTACACTCATTGTAGCGGAAAGAGAACGATGAAAATCCCTCCACAGCCTTTTTTGTTGGACAGTATTTTCATTTATTTGTTTCTTCTCCCTGTCATATACTTTAACCTTTGTTCAGATCTCGTTTGAGCTTTAATTATGTGATGTTGATTAAAAACTTATCTTTTTGTTACCTAATTTTTTATTGCATGTTGCCGGACTATTGACAGTGAAGTCGTGTTTGACTAAGCTCAAGGTCACGGCGTGATTCAGTGTGACTGTTAAACATTTGACTGTCTGCTTGGGAAGATTTCTGGAATCCCTGCAGATAGATATTTGATCCCGTTTGTTGGGAATATATTTGTTGATTCTCAGGTGTCAAATCCTTTAGTATTGATTGTTTCTTTCACTGTTTAGCGCACTACTTTGCGTTAGAGAAACTTCTGACTGTATAGCACAGGCTGTACCGTTTGAGGTATTTTGTATTTTTCATATAATTTGTTCTATTTCTTAAATTAGAACCGTATAAATTGAGCACAGAGATTGTGTTTTGATATAATTTAATACGAGTGTCTCAAAAACTCTTGGCGTGCTATACGGAAGATCGTAGTCTGACCTATTCGAATAATTTTTTATTCGTCAGTCTTGCGTTCAAACCGAATACTGGTAGTTCGGTTGTTACACTCATGTTAAACGATTTGTTCTTAACTATCTGTCCAAAATTCACATAATTATCAATTTTCGCGTGTTTAATTTTTTTCTGATAACCGTTCATATGCATTAGCAGTGTTACTAACTTCTATCACGGTCAAGTAAAAATGAGGTCAAGGAAATCTCCCCGTAACTAAATAAACCGTATCAAACTAACTGGAACACTAGTTAGAATTCTTCTCCACGGTTATACTTTTGTTCTTTCAGTTAGCCTACTAATGCAGATGCAATTGGATATCAACTCAAGGACAACTTAACGGTATGTACGTTATTTGATTTCATAATTTCAACCAAATATAATGCCAATATTAACATTTCTACAAAATCGATTGTTTTTAATATTTATAAACAGGAAATGTTATTACCTTATGGCTATTACTACGTACCTTACGGCGGCTTTTTAAAATATCCCTATACTGAGTCAATTCATTATTATTATAATACCGCTTTGTTTGGCTCAAATAATCTCCACCCAAATTTTCATTTTAAGCGTGTTAAGCATTAAACCAGACATTTCAAAATTCTTACATGTGTTTCTCGACCAGGTACTACCGCCTTGTTTTTGATTTGTCTTTCAGCTTATCAAAACCCGGGAAATTCTTATTCTCGGTAACCTCCGATGCCCGACGATCCCATCCAATTTCGTATCGAACCAACATCACGTTGATTCTAATGGGAGAGTAGTGTAGCGGCATTGGGCCCCAACAACACAATCTTCAAAGCTGAACACGAAATAAATGGGAAAATAGATATTTAATATTTAACGCGGAGAAAAAACAAAATGGTGGAGGAGGCGGGAACAATGAATTGAATAAATTGTAGTTGATCGAATGGCGTGGCTCGGCCATGCAGCTGTGGTTCATGTGGAATGTTACCTCATATTTTTTATTCATATTAAATGTGTTGTTCTATCTCTGGCCTAAGCTTGTTCTCCATCATGTATTGGTAATTGTTACGATGCGATAAGTTGGTGTAGACGATGATGTGACTTCCACGTAAGATCTTATAGATTAGGCAGTTACATCATGACAAATCTACAATTTGAGGATTGAGTTTATTATTAGAGCAGTTCTCATATCATAGTAGACCATAATCCTACAGAAATGCTGTTAAGAGTGAAAGAGATGATTGGTCAAAGGACTTTCGATGATGGCCTATTTAAACAACTTTCTTGTCTAAGTTTCCCCAGAAGGTTCAGGCAGTACTTGTTTCGTTTTCAAACAACTCCGTAGGCGGGCTGGCTGCATCTGCAGATCGCATTTTAAAGATAAACAATTCTTCGCAAGGTTTTTTCAGTCAAAGTAAAACATCAAGCGACACAGAATGACATTATGGAACTGTGTCATAGTCCGGCACGTTACCTTCGTATTCGTCGGGACAGTAGGTGATCATTAACTTCCCGAAGGATTACTTCAGAAAAGTGATCTGTCTCTAGATCATGAGTGGCATATAAACCCGATTGGTGCTGGTATCCTAAGTAGAAGGGAAACTTTACTCGAAATTACAGAAAACCATGCAGTTTTCCTAACTCCATACCAACCGACACGAAAAGCGTTTCTGGAAAATTCCCAGCCGGCACGCGTTAACGGCGAACGCAGGCATCTGTTATACGTCATTGATGTGATCACGAAAGTTCGCTGCTTCATCGACGCTGACGTAGATGTTGGCGCTTTTTCAGAGAATACTTACAACTGGCTGCACAAACCGGTTTAAAGCTCACAAGCGGCAAACGGAAAACCTATCGCCATATATGGTAAACGATACGCCCAATTTAATATGGGTTTACGCAAACAAATTCACTGGATTTTCGTTGTTGCGGATGATTCTATGCCAATCATTGGTATAGACCTGCTACAACGTCATAATTTACTGATCGACATGCGCCAACGGAGGTTAGTAGACGGAAACACTGATTTATCTGTATTTGTAACTTCTTTTTCCAGTAGTAGATGATCTCCCGTCACAGTTAGTCGCATGATAAATCCATTCTTCCAACAATTATTTGACAAGTACTCTGAGATATATCTAACGCAACCGAAATTGCCCTGCGTAACAAGAACCGTTACACACCACATGATGACTACAGAACCACCTGTATTGTCGAAAGCTGACTGGCTCCAAAAAAGCTGAAGTTGGCTATAAACGCGTCCCAACTTCGTTGAAATGTACAATCCATCAATTTGGATGGTACCGTGAGAAAAGCATTCTGCAGAATTAAGGAACGTATTGCAAAATCAGCCGTGCTTGCACATCAGAATACTCAGGTACCTATTAGTATCGCAGTAGACGCATCCAACTCAGCAATCGAAGGAGTATTACAGCTATCATTACTGTTATTCATAAACACCATACGGGTACATAAGTGTTGTGAAGAAACCATTTCGGGTTTCTTCAAAAATGGAATAATACACAAGTTTTAATTATGTTAGCATTATGTTTGCCATATTTGAAAAAGAGAATAATTATGATAGAATAATAATAAATCAGGTTCTGTGTAATTGAGAAAAATGTTGAATTGAGTTTGAAGATTCATTCACAGTAGACAGAATCTCTTCCACTCCTTGTACTCGGTACTTGCAGTGAAAGCTGACATTGGATACTCTGCAGCCCAACTGGTTTACGGAGAATTCATGGGTCCATCATCTTCGATTAATGTAGGTCTAAACTATTTTACTAGCAGGCTTGTTGAATTATGGTCCGCTTCTTCATAAGTACTGCCATAATGAAAGACCTAGCACTGGAATTGTGGATTTGTCATGAGGTAACTGCCTAATCTATAAGATCTTATGTGGAAGTCACATCATTGTCTAAACTGACTGAACGTAATTAAACAATCACCAATGCATGATGAAGAACATATTCAGACTGAAGGTAGAACAATATATTTAATATGGATAAAAAATGCACACTAACTAGGCTAAGTCATGACATCCAATCAATTGAATTTCGAATGAATGTTACTGACTTCACCATTACTGACCTTCTCTTGGTGTTACATGTTGAGTATCTCTTTTACCATTTTACTCATGTTCAGATTTAAGGATGATGGTAAGGACCCAGTAAGCATCAGATCACGAGCGGGTACGCCGCGCTAAGCATATTCTACAACAATTAGCCATCTCAGACCAAACACTCCTCGTTTTATCGATAGTCTTTCAAATATAACTTCGAGAAAGTGATGTTCGCACCATCGATTGATTCCCTTAAGAGAATAACAGACACTTTTGGGGGCCTAATAAAAAACAGATGTACACAGGCAGTAGGCATTCTATCCTCAATGATCATAAAAGAATCGTATTCATTTGAAACAAAACATCAGCTGGAGTATTTATCGTTGCTTGAATCTGTTGACATCTTCTTAGAAAGAAGGTTGGCAACAGAATTATCTACTGAAAATTTGTCTTTGACTCAATACCAGATACCATTATCATGAATTCATTGTGTATTTGTTTGGATCAATCAATACTTATCAATCTCATATTGAGGTATTTCAAGTTTGTTTTCGCATGTCGTTGAGGCAGGGGCGGGCCGTCGGTGATGTAATATCTTTTGCTTCTCAACTGGCTTCTACTGTCGGACTAAGTGCACCGAACAGTATATCTGATGTCAACATAGAGTTTTTCGAATCTATACTGGAGAAGATTAGTGACTTCAAAAATGATGGCAAGGGTGTTTCACTATGTTTTTATTGATTTGTAGCTACTTTAGATCATAAACCTCGATGGGATTTCCTGCTGCAATCACTATCTAGATTGATGGGCAGTTCGCTTGGTTATATATCCATCAGACATTTACGCACATTCGATCCTAATGTTGTATATAGTCTTCTTGAACTAATTGATCTATTGGCAAAAAACAATTTTGTTCAGAAAGACTTTAAAGTGGCAGAGCAAACTCGTAATGAAAGGCTGTAAGTCTATTTCACCACAAAGACGCACATATTTATCCAAATTTATGGTCATTGTCGTATTGTAAAGATGCATAGCCCAATCTCTTTGTTTTGGTGGAAAGTCTGTCCGTCTTGAATAAATTTCGGTGAAACAGCAATAGAAAACCCGGGTACATTTTGGGCTTTCCCCAATATTTTCCCAGAATCTTACAATACTTTGGAGTTTTTCCCCAAGTCTGGGGGGGTACCTCAACATTTACCCCGAATTCCCCAGTTTCCCCAAAATATGGAGATTGGGAAGTTATCAGATGTAACAACCAAACATCCAAATCTGGTCTGTCCTCAAAAACGTTTTATTGGTATTTAAGACTAGTTATCATGAAAAGAAGTTTTGTCTGCTACTTACTCGGTAAAAAATTCAGAGAAAACATGCTAGCACACTTCCTTACTTGAGACAGTACCTTTCATTACACGACGTGGAAGTTCACATACTTTAATATTTCTTTACATGATGGATTCGAATGGCCAAACCAACACGTGCGATTCGGAAATGATTCAGTATAATACAGATGAATTTTATCAAAATTGTTTCTATCGACGTTTCTGTATGGTGTGTCAGGAGGTCGTGATAATAAACGTTTTAACCAAGCTTTATGGTGGTATGTTGCCCTTTTAAGGCGATCATGTACATTCACGTCTTTCTATTCCCGTAAAACATTACCTGTAATGTTCTGGTGTGGTAACTTGGACTTACACATATATATACTATGGCCCCCAAATGCCCTTGTACGGCGGATATTGGGGAGAGTCAGCTCTCTCAAAATGCTCTCATATGTCCATGTGCATACAACCACTGCCAGAAAAGTCTTAGTCACTGCCTTCTCGCCGCGGGGGTGTTGTTTACGAAATTGAGAGAACAAAAAGCGAATGTCTAGCGCTTTAACCGGGTTGGTGGACACGGAGGGTTCATCTAGTGGAGTTGGACAACCCTGATTACGAACAAGTGGTACACATGGACTCCAGTATCCTGAAGAAACAAATGGCGTATGAACCAATCGTTGGTAACCGAATACCATGGACTGTATCTCTTGACGTTGCTCCACTGCCTTATGGATTAGGCCTTTTAAGTCGAAGGTTCATGGAGTGCTCCCTAAGAAAACCACCTGCTTCTGTTTAGGCACCAGGGCAGTATCCAACCCTCACACAAATCGAATGATTTATGTGCCTAAATAAATAAACTCACATTACTTGAGACCAATTGGTGTATGCAGATGTGCCTGATAATTTATTGTGAAGTAGATATGATTTACACTTTCAGTCGAAGTAGAAAAATGTTTACTGCACCCAAGACTGTCATATTTCCATTATATTTTCGATTAGTACATCCTGTGGTGTTACAACATGTTACATAATGTTTCATTTTGTAATGGGATAACTCAGATAAGGATAAAGAAACTTGGGGCGATGAAACGTTTTTATCTAAGGGGTCTGTCCATAAGTTGATGAGTCTTCAGATATATATTGTTTTCCCAATCCTTATTACCATATATAACTTCTAAATTTAATTAATTCTGCGTATCTGCAGTTTATTTAGAGATAACTCGTGTTTCTTGGCAATAAACTTCCAGTACTATTTCATATACTCAATACTAATTCCGAGAGTAGTAAATTTTATGCCAAAATACTTAATTTTACTTCACAATAAAAATACTTATGAAGTATCTTTAAAATAACAAAACGTCCGAATTTTAGATATTTTTACGGTAGGAATCAATAACTAGTCTGAATTAGTTTCAAATGTTTTCGTTTTTTTAGTCACTTAAATTTACGGGTTTCTTGAATCCATTCCTGATTATCGACCTCACTTAACCATCTTACAAGGCAAAAGGACAGTGTTAATTTTAAACGATCTAATGGTGACAGTTGAATAGAATTCATGAGTATTTATATATCTTCTATCTAAACAAACTTTAAGTATATTAGTATAATGACAAACGTTTATAGGTCTTATTTGTCACACGTTGCAATACACTAGGGATGATCATGAAAAAAGGATGTCAAAATAAACGGGAAAGAGGACAAAAAGTAATGAAATTATGGATATTTGGAAAGAATAGACGCACATGTATCACTCAAACCAATGTTATCCATAAATTACTCGACACGTTTAATCTCAGTTGTAATGGTGTTATGCCAAGATTTATCCACCCGCAGATGTTTCAGTCTGACTGCTTCATTCGGTGTCATATATTAAGTAAAGCCGACTGAGATTCAGCCTGGATAACATAAAACAAGTTATAGTTTATCTATATGCTCTTTAAAAAAGAGGTATTGAGTTTATCGTCAGAAACCAGTTGATGAAAATCTCTATTTGGTATACCAATTAGGTGACATCATTCTTACATACGAAAGCTATTTAACTTACAGGATAAGATTTAATTTGTTTTTTCTGATTGGCGATTCTTAGCGTGGTCTTTTTACGACGTTGGTATCATAACTTTACTCTCATCTTTTGTCTGTGCTTATGACTACAAAGGAGATCTAGCTACCATAGTCCAGGCACTGTATAAAGTTTTTTAAAATAATATTTCATTAACCGATGTTTGTTGATTAGTGACTTATAATAAACTGACCATTTATTAATTATTTTCATCTTGATTTATTCAGAAATCCAGATGAATTGTGTGGAAACGTATCACGTAAACTTGAAAGAGTTCGTAACTTATACTCTCAACAAAAGTCCTCGCCGATTCTATTTCAGGAATCACAAAACAATTTTGAATCACGATCACACGATAACATGGATTCTAAATTACAAAATATGGATAGATCTACAGAAAGTAGTAGCGCTAGGTTGGCTTATCTTCAAGAAAAACTTAAGACATGTTTACTTAGTATCCCGCTTGACGAAAATAGTTCAAAAAGCGATGGTGCGTCTATACTAACTCGGTCAAACTCATTTCATACTAAACAGGTAGATTCGCTGGATGTTTTTGTATTACGGTCAATGTGTTGTACGGTTTTGCAACAAATTTGTGTAAAAACAAAACATTAAGTCAACCAGGTTACTATATTCTAATTACTGCAATGCAAATCATGTTAGTTTTAAAATTAATTACTAGTTTATCGAAAAACTGGTACAATTTGAAATAGCTTCAGTTATGAAACGAAGTGAGCTTTGGAACCATGGCACACTGGAAAGCTGTCCTGCTGCCTTTCATCACTGTGCCCCCTTAACTTCGCTAAGAACAGGACTGGTCCTCCAATCAAAATAATACCTGCAATCCACCAGATTATTTAGCAATTGTATTTATTGGTAACTTGTTACGAAAGAAGTGGCTGGAGGGTCTCATCTAGGTCTGAAGTGATGCGGTTGTTTGCCAATTATATCAAATGGTTGTTACGTTAAACCATGGATTAATTGAAGCTCAAAAGGTGGATCACTGGATTCTAATACAGTGGCTTGAATGTTACATGTCATCCCTGGTGGGTTTTTAGGTATGGCTAACAAGGTCTAGACAGAGCGGAAAAACCTATTTGGTCCTCTTTAGTTTTCAGCTGCTGTTTGGTATACGTCAGTCTGTGACCGAATATACCTTTAAATTAAACTAGTTTCCACAAGTTATTCAAACAATTTAGAATAATCTTTGCTATGTTAGGTTTTTATCAATCTAAAAGTGATTATTTGGAGATTAATCGCTTCATATAATCATAATTTCAAGCCATTCATATACTATTTAAAATAATTTCAACCATATAACCACTACGTGAAATATTAGTGTTGTAATCTAAGAAAATGTACATTTCAATGATAACCAATTAGTGTCACTTCCAGTTTTTACTTTCATCAATCGATGTTATATCACTTAACCTGAAACCTTTTAAAATGTACTAACTTTTTGTAAAAGAAATGACTTAAGTGGTTTTCAATACACAGAAGTGTTACTAAATTTCAGCTTTATCTTCGACACATGTAATGCGCTCTGGCAACTACATACATTCCACAACCTGCCACTGAGTATAAGTAGAAATCGATTTTTGAAATATAACCAGTCTAACAATCTGGAGGATAAAATTGTTTATAAGCTTTCTATTACGATATGGATAAGCAGAGACTTCTGATGACTTTTGGACTTTAAAACTGAGCACAGACATGATAGTAAGATAAACAAGCTTTCTCTGACATATACAACTAACTAAAAACACAAGAGAATTTTTAGAAGCCTGGCACTCAGGTCAATCAGCAATCAACAAACATATTGAAATCGATCCGATTTATCAACCAATCAGGAAACTTATGCACAAATATAGGAACAAGAATCAAACCATTAGGAGACAAAACCAAGACAAAAAGGTAAACAATGACAAATTTAAGGTCAATAAGAACCAATCAACATCGAGGTGCACAGAACAAGCTGTGAAACGCATATGGAGAAATTCGAACACTTCACTTCTATCTGAAGTTTGTGCTGATGATGTCGTTCAGAAGAACGATGAAAGCTCCACGACCAAACCATCCAGCTCAGAGAACAAAACTCCATCGACAACTAACTCAAGATCGGAACACTCATTTGTCAATCTAATAAACACTGAAGTTTTCTGTCAAACTTGACAGAAAAAGTAAACATGCACTTGATTAGTTATCTATCACTTTTTTTGCTTGTATTTAAATAAAAGCAATATATGGTAATAAGTTCTAAGTCCCGAAAAATTTGTATTCAAGGGATCCAAATTAATACCTGCTCACATTTAATCTCGTAGTTTTGACCTCTTAATTTTAAAGTTAAGAGGTTCATACTAATTGTTTTAAAACCTGGGTGGCAAAGTTAAGTATTTATTTATTTATTTTAACACATAGATATCGGTACAAGAAGGCACCAAATACATATGCGCCACACAGATCTCATTTGATATGTGTGAGGGCTGTGAGGCTGCCCGGGTGCCCAAACCGAAGCAGGGCAAAGTTAAGTACATCATTCTAGCTGGTAGTATGAGAGAATCTGTGCAACATTTATATTTTTTTAGAGCTTTTTTCACCGTAAATTTATTTAAATCCATTATCAGAGTTTGTTTTATTCCTTCCTAAAATGTAATCTCAGTTAAAGCGTCCTTCTGACAATTGTAACTGCGGTTGCAAAAGTGTAGTTAAATTACATGCCAAACCTTTAGTGGATACATTGCATATTTATGCGAATAAGCATTCAACTATACCCTACCCTATCAGTGTTACTGAAGAAAATGAAGACCTGTCCAATCAATCGTTTTATAAATTATTAGATGGATTTCCTAAAATAGATTTAGATGAACATGAAGAGCGGGTTTTGCGCAAAAAGGCATGTAAGTTGAATTTTTTGAAGACAGGTTTTCACTGATGAAATTTCCATTTATTGATTATAGCAACTTTTCACTTAGTCATGATAAAACAACGTCTTGTTAACTGTTCGATGAAATAGTTTTTGTAGTAAGTATCAGGATCCCATATGAATTTTTGATAAATGACTATTCGAACTAAACTTAATAATCACTGTAATAGGGAGAGGTAAGTTGGACTCATGACACTAAGCAATTCTTTGTAACAGTGAGTCCAAATAACTAGTATTACTTGACTAGTTAGCCTAAGTATCAAGATTTTATTTTCTGTATTATTGAACTACAATTTATTTTAAAGTGTCGTATGTCTGAGGCGTTTATATGTACCTAGGGAAATAACATTTTTGGACTGACATAAGATAATATGCATAAGTATTTGTCATCTTATTCATTGTATATATCTTATTGATTATAATTAGATTTATGTGCTCCAAACTGGCTAATATGTAGTCAGTGACTTATTAGTGTTCTCGCTATATATTTATCGATATTATACTAATATAATCCTTAAAATATTAGCTTTCGTAGTCATTAAAGGCGCAAGTGGAACTCGGAAAGAAGCGAACGTAAAAATGTCAAGCAGTTTTTGGATTGAATTCTTATTCTTCTCAGGTTTTGAGTGTTCATCTTGTTGTGCTAATGAGGTATGGCAACTTGGACCGATGCATAAGTGTGTATGGTCCTACGTTGCGACTGACTGACTTCGAAACCTAAGCATACTTGAAGACACACAATGGTAGTCATTTTTCTTAATCTGACCTTACTGATTTACAGGTTTTTGATGGTTTATTTTCATAAGGGATACTAAATAATTAAATAAGCTTACAGGAGAGCCCTTACTTGATCACTGTTGATTCAATTGCAATTTACAGCAGTGTCATTGTAATCGTTTGCTCCAAGTGGTATATGTAAAGCCTGCGCATTCTTCCGATTTTAGTTTACTCTCGTCATGGATGCTTTTTTAGAACCATAGATATAGAGTACGCAAGTAAGATATACATGTGAATCCTGGATTCTTCAAGTTGGGAATTTTCGGTGAGTGCTTGTGTTTGGTCATCGTACTCTTTGAGGGATTTCTCACGCTCGAGGTATGGTACAGTAATGGCAGTTCAATCGATGTTACTATTTAAATAAAGGGAACTAATTGCACGATGTTACTATCTTGAAACAATGGCTTCTACTGTTTAAAAATTCTATACGTCATTCTAATGGGTTTTATACTGATAATTATTTGATAATTATATAAATGGGTACGAAACTCAGAGGATAAGTCTAATACATTAGTTCTTATCGAAATTTTATATTTCAAGTGTGTTAATGTCGTTCTAAGAATCGTAATTACTATTTTGTTTATTACCTTCTTTTACTACTCGACATCGTGCCCCAAAAAATACCAACCACGCTTATTTTCAACTTTCGTTTAATACCTGTGATAAATTGTTTTATAATTTGCATGTTTAGGGTTATTTAGATAACAATTTTCCACTCGTGTTTATCAGGTAATTACGTCACCTCTAGATAGTAAAAGCTCCCTTTAACATTCGCTTGGTTTGCATCTATGTCAGTACTACTATTTGATTTCTATAATCTTAAGTTTTATGTGCAGCAAATATCTGTGTTTTTCTACTAATACTATAACTACTACCATCGTATTTTCATGAGTTTGAACTGACAATTTTTTAAATTATTTCCTTTTCAAACACAAAGTAAGCGTAATGAGACAGCTTTCAAGCAATTCCTCTTCTGGTCTATCTCCCATACATGTTCCTGAATCTCATTCACAAAATATTGAGGAAAGGCAGAGACGTCGTCTTGCACAGTTAGTTCATTATGATCGTCAAATTGAAAACCTCAGACACCAAAGAGCAAGCGAAACCGTCGAGAGGCGTATTCGAGGAGAAGCGAGAGAGAGAAAATTCCAAATGATTAGAGCTCGGAAATATTTCGACGAATTTGTCCGTGAATTTCGTCTGAAAAAAATTGCCAAGGTTAATACTGATGAAAAGGTAGTTACATAAGTCCATAAGACGTAGTTTCCTTACGGTTTAATCTCACACACCATCTTGGTAATAATTCTAAGTCAACTAAACTTTATTTAAAGTCATTCCACAAGTTCTGAGATTTATCAGATGACTTAATTCATTCAGATTTGTCAAGTTAAACGGTTTAGATAAGTGTTATCGTTTTCTGAATTATTTATCCCTGTGTCACTCAAATCCATATATTGAAGCAATATTGAAAACCAATAGACTAAGAGTGTATACAATGGATATGACTAATAGTGGATGCGTGGTGGCAGAAGACGAGAATAACAGTAACGACTTCAAATATTTAAAATGATCACAGAAGTCGGTTTAAGAAAGACGATTTGCAAAACTGGTATTGAGAGTAGTGAAAGATTAACGTACAATCAACGTAAGCAATTATAAACATGATTAGAACACTATAAAGTCTTTCGTTGATAAATTAACACTTCAACGCACCAAATCTAGGGTCCTATCGAACTGGGCTGAATAATTTTAAAAAATAATGGATGCTTTTGTGAAGTGCGGTGTGCGAGATCTGGTACTGATACATGGTGTGCTATGCGCTAACCTCCCGACTGACTACTTGAGCGAGAACATAAGTGTGAGCGGGAAAGTGTATTGGACTACCGAATAAAATGCACAAATACTCATTCATATATATATACCACTCTAATCCTTAGGATATTGATCTATTTCTTAGTCAATGAAATGCACATGTCCTTTAGGTGAGTCCTGATTGCCATCGATTAACCTTCTCATTAGGCTACTTCTGATCGTCTCTCCATATTGAATCTCTACAGTTCTTCCAGCTGAAGTGTATTAGTTGGGTTCCGTCCAACTCATTCAGTTAGTCATATGTACCTTGACCCCCCTGGCGCATATGCGCATTTTTTTAAGTTACCATACCATATTAACACAAAGATATGAAATCAGCAAGCTAAACCCCAGAGTAGTTGAAGTAATAGCAGTGTTAGTAGCATTAAGAAAAAAATATATAAATTTTAGGGATCTAGGAACTAACTAGTCTATAATACTACAATAATAGTAGTAATTTAAAACCTTTTAATAGTTTATAAGTTTCAAATTAATTTTATACAGTTCCAATTACTCTGAACCAGTAAAAAATTCATGTTATAATACATTTACCAAGTACAAGTTCATGTACCTAACTTTGAGAGACAAGTTAGTTATGTTAAATGTAATCATACTACCAAGTTGTTCAAATTAAATTAATTCAAATGTGATTTGAGTCTTCATCTAATTGATTGACGATCAAGTGCTTTAAATAGTCAACCACTGCTCTTTAAATAACTAAATCGTTACATCAGTAAGATAAACTTATGCTACGCAGTTGTTTCGAAATACAAGTGAATAACATCGATCATCAATTTCTGTCAAATCAACCTGCCACATATGTATTGGGCTTTTTCCACAAATCAACGTCTTGCAAATTATAAAGTTCACTCACACTGAAAAGCTTAGAAAATATCCTATATTTTTTATTGCCTAGCAATGGAACCAATATTTTATATTCTTCTATAATAAGCAAGAACACATGCGGGGACATCCAAATACGAAATTATAGAATTTCTTGAAAACATATGAGAACCATACACTGAATACTTCATTAATAATTTTCCATCATTTGTTCTTCATATTCTGCATGATTCCCCCAGTCCACAATTCCTTTTTATTATCTTCAACTCGGTCTTCTTCTGCCAGGTTTTCCACTTGCATTTGTTGTTATATACTACTTATGTCTATTGACATAATTAGCATACACCACGCTAATTCTCTTCATGTTAATTTATATTGATTTTCTATTTTCATTTCAGATATTTCGACAATTTTTTCAGCAACTGATTCAAAAACAAAAGGAATATTTTTTTGAAGTGAAAAAACTAGAACGTGAAGAAAAGCTCCAGAAAGACGAACAAAAAAGGAAAATTATGGAATCGTTAGAACATGAGTACTAGCATATTTTTATTTTCAACTCAGTTTAAAGTTTGTGATATTAGTTGTTAGTCATATTTCAAGGTTGATTACTAAGATATTTATGCTTATTAATCATAAGATATCTTCATTTATTTCAAAGCTCAAGCTGATCAAAGAAGTATTTCTTTCCAATTAGTTCCTCATCCTAGATGTACACTAATATGTAGATTTCGTAATGAATTAGAAATCAATGCCAAATAAATTATGGTGTATCAATTTGAAAGTTTATCTCAATATTTTCTTAAAAGGTAACAAGCAATTTGGTGCTGAACAAATATCAACTTAAAGATAAAGTGAACTTGCATTATTGGTTGAGTATTTATGCAATTTTGTTTTAATATTAATTTTACATTCATTGAATAAATGACTGTAACTACTATCCTTATGAAAAAATATTGCGATATATTTCTGAATCGATGTACCACCATTTATTAGGTACAAATTTCATACTTAACGAAACTTACATACCGGTTGATGAGGGGCGGTTTACAATATTTTTTTCCCTCTCACACGCTTATTACGATGATACGTTAATAAGACTAATCACGTTATACCAGAACCAGGATTCGCTACCCAAAATAGCAGTCACACACAGTAGAAATCAATGATAAGAAGGAAAATCACATATTTAATAGTTCTTGAGCTCTGGATGTTTGTCCAGGCTCAACAACCAATTATACTGTACTTTCACTACCACACATCACCAGTGTAGAGCTGTTGGTAAGGTACTAATTTAAAATAAATATTACTGTTGTATAAGAACAAAGAATAAGTGAATGGTAATTGCTGGGATCTATTTATGGACTGTTATTATATAAATATTTTTACCGTATATCTATGAAGTAACAATATTATATGTATATTCATATATATTACCACCACTGAATTAACTACTTTTATGAATCCGGTGTTCATCTTGTTGTGCTAATTAGGTATGGCAACTTGGACCGATGCACATATGTGCCTGATCCTACGTTGTAGCTGACTGACTGATATTCATATTCCTTTTATTATAAGCTTGCATTTAACCTATTGACTACTATTATACGATTTACCATTCTTAAGTTATGAATCTTCATCGACTGAGATGGTTGGGTCACGTGTTGCGTATGCCTGAACACCGATTACCACGACGCGCAATGTTGGCTAGTGTTGAAGATGGTTGGGAGAAAGTTAGGGGCGGTCAAACCAAAACGTGGCATCAGTGCTTGAAGTCACTAACTTCTGGTCTGAGCCATGTTGGTGAATACAGACTACTTGGTTGGAGTCCGCGTGACTGTCGTAACCAATGGTTGGAGACTCTTGGTGACATGGCTCAGAATCGATCACGATGGCGTAGGTGTATACACTCTCTGTCTTCCTTTAAACTATGAGATTAAAATCGCTTCATATCTTTCTTTTTACGAACTAATTATTTCTTCCTGTATTATATCCTTATATGCAATCTTTCTTTTACATATTACCACCTCTGAATTAACTGCTTCTATGAATCTGGTGTTCATCTTGTGCTAATGAGGTACGGCAACTTGTACCGATGCATATATGTACCTGGTCCTACGTTGCAGGTGACTGACCAAAATTTATTAGTTGCAGTCTCTCACTGTCACAGCCACTTTTGACCTGAATTTGTATGATTGTTATCATTTATTTTATGGCACAATGAGGTTTGGTTTGTGTTAGGTTTTGAAAGAGCGAGAGAGAGCTATCACGGGTTCACGTAGTTTGAGAACGAGATCGAGGATTCGGTGAGCAAGGTCCAGTAAGCTATCTATTGAGGCGTCCCAGCCCGCTATCTAGAGAGAGAAGACCAAGCTTGGAATGAGAAGTATATTCTGCAACAACCCGAAACCAGCAAACTTTTTTACAAGATAATCTTAAAACGTATATATACAAATATATATACATCGATATTGTCATGGAGCTTTTAAACATTTAATCGATAGTTCGTCAATTGACTGCCATTGAAATATTTAAACATTTAATCGATAAATTCGTCAATCAACTATGTGCGTGGGTGGTAAGAAATGCCCACGTATACATCTGCATACAAGCTCCACAAGATAAATTACAAACTATGAGTTTTTGGGGATCTATCGTCCCCAACAGTTTGCTTGTATATAAACTGCGTATGTCTGAAATACATCTCGGAGGCTGACATTGGTGTTCTGGACTGAACCATCTAGATTAGTCGAGAAGCCAATATCTCAGAGGACTATTAAGAACTCAGAGTTGACTCTAGACTTCTCGCACTGGCTTGTACGTTATTGGTTTGGCATTGTGCCAAGGTGATATAAGTTGGTGCTCATACCACGTGATAATTAACAGGGCAAAAGTCAGAACAATTACTTCACACATCTTCTATTTTGAATGCATTCATAAGAATATTTTAAAAACCAGGAATATTTTCTCAATGAATTGAACATAAATAGCTAAAGTATCAAGTGTTTATGAAAAATTAACATGTACGATTGGTGGTAGTCACCGTCACTTTTCTACACTGTGGAACAGGAGGATATGTTGCTTCGATGGTAATGATTATGTTAGACTCCAATAACGAAACAAATTTCCTAGGTAACGTCAGAGAATGATCTTAATTAGATAACCATTGAAAAACAAAAAGCACTGGATAACTTTCTCATCCTAGTATGAGACTGATTGGCAATGCATATCCAAGACCCGGCCACCTAAGATCTAACTCAGGGCCTTCAGATCTTTCTACAAGCATCTTACTTTTAGATCACTGGATGGGCTATTTCATGGGGATTTGTTTTCATGAATATAATTGAGGAATTATTTATTTGCTTTAAAAGTTTCTATCACTTTTGATCCTAGACCTGATTATTTTGATTTAACGTTTTTTTGACAATTTTATGTCTCTCTGAAAACCATAGATATCGTATTCGCTTGGAACTAATGAATGAAAAGATAAATAAAGAAAGAGAAGAACAATCGATTCGTATGCGTGAAGAACAAAAAGTACGTCTGAATTCAAATATATGCTTACTCTATCATGTAATTTAACGTTTGGTATAAATAACTGTAAGAGGGATAATGCTTTTATAAAAAATCTATGTCCTCATGCTATTTCTTGCTTTATAAGCTTTTTGTATTGTTTCTAAACATTTTGACTGTAACTTAATTATTTTTTAAAAATATAATATTATGCTTATTTTCATAAGCTATAGTGAAACGATATTCATTGTGTTCTATGTTCCCAGTGTGCTGTTTTGATTAATCGTTGATACGGCTTACAATCAGTATTGTTATGATTGAAATATTCATTAAACTGTATTGATGACAAGTTGGTTTTATTTCTCTGTATATAAGGTGATAGAACACTTTCATTTGCACGAGATCATGTAATTTATTGAGCCCTTATTAAAAAAGTATTTCAGTCTCTTAAGCCATTATAGGTATCAATGCCAAGGTCGGACATGATAGTTTCTAATAAATTGAGCATTAGGTAGAGAATTAATAATAAATATATTTTTTGTGATATCCTAATGAGTAGAAATATTGTATTTCTGACGTTTCGTGACTTGATGCAAGCCACTTTTTCAAAGTAAACAAACAACCGGATTGAATTGACAGTACAACAGTCAAATGTCTTCATGATTAAACCATCAAATCTACAGAATGCAAAATCTTCCACACTACTGTCGTTTTATTCAGTTTCTCGGAATTAAGAATGAAAAACTGATTATAGTCGATCACTATTTACAAGCCAATTCGACATTTTCAATAGTAGTAGCTCAAACATTTGTTATATTTTTATAATGGTAGTTTGTTTTATATCAACTTCTTAAATAAATCTTTTATTTATTTACTGACTTCCTAGATTCTCAGAGAAAATAAACGGAAATTACGCCAACAACTGGAAATGAATCTACGCGAAATGCAGGAAGCATTTTTAAACAATAGAGACAGTGCTCATTTTAGGGAACAAGATGCTAAAATGTTGTTAGCATCAAATAACAATTTTTTGTGACAAATGAACCATGTAAATAGTGAAGACACGTTTTTGTGTTAAAATAAGTAATTTATATTATACTTTTTCATTATTAACTTTTTGCCAACAGCTACAATTAAATGTGATCAAGTACATGACACCTATTATCACTTCATATCCTAATAGGCAGTTGAGATATTCAAAAATGTAGGAAGATTAAATGCATAACTTTGTTTATCGTAATTTTGTATTAAATAATTATATCCGTAGAACAGTAGCTTAGTGGTTAAAACATTTGACTTCTAACTAATGGATCGCAAGTTCACTATTACTTCAATTTTAAACAAATGGATAGTGTCATAACTAAACGAATGTTATAGTAGTTGGAACTGGCTTTCCGAATTATTATTAATGGAAATTTTGCTGTGTAATTACCGAGTAACTAGATTGCTATGTATATGTATTCCTTTTATTATAAGCTTCCAGCTAGCCCGTAAACTACTAACATGCGACTTCATATTCTTATTTTATTGCCTATTTATTATTAAGTCTCCTCTATTCACAGTCACTTTTGACCTGTTCATGTATAATTGTTATTTCTCATTTTATGTAATGCGGTCTGGGATTTCTGTATATAAACCACTTAGGTCTGAAATATAAATACAGTAACTAATGTAATTAACGGAGCTATATTCGATGATTTATACAATTTGACCATAACATTGATTTGTCTAATCAATCCTCAACAATATCATGGAACCCTAGAAATTAATTTTATAGATATCACATAAAGATTGGATCAAATTAATGGATATCATAGGAAAAAGAGAAAAAAATCAGAGCAATATTAGAATCGAAACAATCGAAAAATTGCAGTAAAAATCCATAATAAAAGTTAATTACTCAAATATGTCAAGAGAAATGGACTGAAGTAAAAGTTTACTACAATTTGACTATTTACCAAGTTATCATATCAAATTGTGATATTGCTGTTCAATGCTAGACAATCTTTGTATGAGTGAATTGCTGGGTCAACTTCAGTGTTTAAGAATACTTCCACCTAAATATTAAAGAAATGAAGAAATGAAATAGTTAGCTAACCAAGTCTAGACAATTAAACTTCTATTTTATCTTTATTCTGAATGTAAACTAAAAAAATTATTGGTTGGTGAGAAGATATTTCATTTAGTTAGTTATATTGACCTTGAAAAGACTAATGATAGAATAAGAGCTTGTAGAAAATGTAAAAAAATGTGAATTGCAGGGTCTTCTCGTTTGGTCTGTCTCTGTGTCAAATGAATATAAGTTATACACACGGCGTGTTATTGATTATTCGATCAGTTAGGCATATACTGAGATCCCGTGACCATGAGTAAAATGTACTCATAGATATCAGTCAGCAATGACAGAGAACTCCAAATCTAACAATTTACACAAAACTATTTATCTTGATGACAGTCATATGCTCAAAGGGTTGTAGTGAGAATTCGACATACGGAATCCGGTCATATCAAAAGTGAAAGAGATATCACCGATGACATTAAATGATGATCACATCAAACAGCAAAATGACTGGAGTTGGAATCATGACCTACTGGATTTCGACTCAGTAGACTAAGGGTATAATAGTTATCAAAAAGTCAAAAGTGTGCGTTGTCAATAAGTGTAAAGCTAGCTGTCTAGTGCTTCCTGGTTCTCAGCAGTTTTTCAGTTGATATTAATCGATGAAAAAAACCTTAAAATGTACAACACTTATAAATGAATGCACCAATGGTCAAAATTACGAAAAATATCTACATGAGACGTTACAAAAAATGTCGTTCGATCTAACTGGATATAGGGTAAAGCCATGATATTTCGAAAATTAAGGAGTTATATTCAAAATGGTACTCTGTGTCATGAAAATTATTTTTTTTTACATAATACCTCTCCTAGTAAACTAGAATATTTATTTTAAAAAATATTCTTATCTTATAGATCCCACGTACATTAACATCTTCCTTATCAGAATATCATGAACGATACCATTACAACAACGGGCTACCAGATTGTGTAATCAAATTTTATAAAACTGTTATAGATATTTAACAGTAAAGCAGGTGTGATAAAAATCATTACCTGTTCAACAGCACGACCGATCATATAAGATGGATCTAATAAATTTGGAAGTAACGAATGTATTGGGGTAAAGTAATCATCGTTGAGTAACTTGTCCATGAGACTATTTTTTAAACCTTTTAGTTTAATTTCTGCAGCAGCTTCATGACTATGCTTACGAAGGCGTTCATGGCATTCTTGACGGTTGGCTGCGCCTTCAGACACCATTTTGACTAAGATACGTTCAACAACGAGGAAAGGAAGTTCAGAATTTAGATTAGCTTCCATTACCTGTTGAAAAATATGAACGAAGATATACACACATCATTTTTCTTGTCACAAGACAAAATGAGGTAGTCAAATATAAATATGAAAGCGTGATATGTGCGCATTTGTACATACACACTATTGACAAAATCATATTGGCTATTGAAATAAACATTTGAGATGATTAAAAACACGAAATTCAGCGAAGGGATCTCTTCTCAACGAATTTATTATCAGGCTATACAATCGTATATATACGAAAATTTTTTGTTTTTGTAAAAGTACTAATTCCGTGAGGAAATGTGAACACAACTAACCAGGATGACGTATAGCTTGATAATAAATTCGTTGAAAAGAGATCCCTTCGCTGAACTTCATGTTTTTAATTTTTAATGTTTAAATGGGAATTATCTGTCAATTTGAGATTATGTCCGATAAAGAATATACACGTAATCGGACAACATAATGCAACCAATTTCAACACTAATGCTATTTAATAAAACTTTAATTATATTTGTGTTTGATTTGAGGGTATGAACTGCTTTACAAGGTATGGAAATATTAAGTATAGCAAATGCTTTATCCACCTGTTAATTAACGTGCTTTGTAACCTATAATCTAGAAGCTAATTTGTTGCCACATTATTACTTCTATCGAACCTGATGTATTCTGTTTATATGAAGTAGGAGGGTTGAACGTGGGTCAGCAACACCTTCCCGTAGATAACAACTTTATTAAAAAACACTAACCAGAACAAACACTTTAAACTCCGCCCTGGAAGTTGGAAAACATTCATTTAGAAGTATTATGCCTTGGTGAAAGCCGAGATACGAAGCCGATGCTCCTTCTAATAACCAAAGCAACAATTAATATAGGTACATGGAATGTTCGGACAATGTAGAAGACTGGGAGAGCTAACCAAACAGCTACAGAGACGAGGAGAAACAAATCGGCGATTCTCGGATAGGTGAAATCCATTGAAAAGATTAAATTCGGAAGAGGTGCCATTGTATTTAGGTTATCAAGAAGAAATGCTCCGCACACACAAGGAGTTGCACTGTCGAAAAAAGTAGGGAAAGTTTTTATGGGATGAGAATCTCATGGATCTAGAGTCACCACAACACCTTTCAAAACACAGAAGGAGGGAATCACAATGAATAATATGCATTTCTATGCGCCAACCAATGATTGCAAGGAAGACGGTAAAGACGGGTTTTGTGAGAGGCTGTAACCGACCTTATAGAAGTGCCCAGGAAACGACCTGATCATCCTAATGGGAGACTTAAACTCCACAGTCGGAATGGGCAACACCGGGTATGAAGATATCATGGGACGATATTGACTGACTGGCATATTGGAATCAGAATGGAGATATTTTCAAATTTGTACGGATTCAACAAAATGGTTATAGGCGACACAATATTCCCCCACAAACGCATACACAACTTTAACATGTCAGGAGGTTCTGGGTCGCAACAAGCACCATTATAGAGAGTGAATCTCTATTGATTCCCATGGCAAGATTCAAGAAAGGAAGGATAGAAAGACAACAATTAACAACAACTAAACAAGAGCAGAGAAAGTCAATTCAAAAGCCGAATACATAGAAGCAAACAAGCAAGTGAGGATTATCATTAGAGTCGACAAGCGGAAATACGTTGAACACCTAACAATAACAGCAGAAAACGCTGCAAGAGAAGGAAATATCGAACAACTATATGATATAATGAAGAAACTAACAGGGAAACATAGTAAACAAGAGCAATCAGTCAATGACAAAAAAAACACGCCAATCACTGACATTTAAGAACAGCTGAACAGGTGGATAGAACACCGAAGAACTTAATGGAGAAGCTCTGGAAGATGTGGAAACTTTTACATATCCGAGGAGCATCATAGATGAACAAGGAGGATCTAGTGCAGACGTAAAAGCAAGGGCCGCATTCATTTGTTTCTGGAATTTGACTAAGAATAAACATTAACTAATTGCGTTAGAGTTTTTGAGGGCTTCTTCACTGAACGTATTGACTTAGTTTTAGCTTCATAACATGGATGTACTTTTAAGTAATGATTTTAATAATATGATCAACTGTTTTGTTGAACAGCAATTAAATTAATTATCTTAATATTATTTTAATGAGACATAATACTACAGTGGAGAACAATAGTAAATTTCAAGTTTAATTAGTTTACTGATTAAAAAGAACTGTATACCATATGACTGTCGGAAATAATTCTTGAAAATTAATACAATTAAGATATTGAGATTCCAAAAGCATCTATAGAAAATTATTTCATAACGAATAAACAAATCGGCAAAGACTGGACATACCATTGGGTACACTATTAATCCTTCAGCTATGTTTTGTAGCAAAGTAAGACATGCATCGGTTGCAAGAAAAGCTTCTGGGAGGACGATTCTACGAATAGCTGAATCATCTAGTGAACGTTCAAGCCACTGAACAGATGCTGTAGAAACCATGGAAGTCGATATATTCATTAGATAACGTGCTAAAGAACATGCTCTTTCTGAACGAATAGGATTACGTTTATATGGCATTGCACTTGAACCGATCTAGATTTGTACAATTAAACATGAAATAGATATAGTGAAACTATTAAAATGAATTACAGGAGTACGGACAAATTGTATAAATATATGAATAAAATATATATACCATATATACACAAAATGGTGAACAATTTAAATGCTATAAACTTGATAGTAGTAATAATATACATTTCAAGTGATGAAAAAGGAACGCATGAAGTATTGGCAAAGTGTACAAAAAATAATATATATTATCATCACATGAATGTATGATGATTTGACCCACTTAAGCTGAGATAAAGTTCATATTGGCGAAAAAAATAGATATACTCCCTAGTACTGTTTGCAATATTGTTAAAACAAACAATGAACTTAGCAGTTTAACATAGAACGTTACTATTGAATTTATATTCATTCTCGTATTAGTTATGGTACATAGTCATTTCGTTTACATAAAATATCTGGCAATGAAAAAGTCAAACCTTAAAATGATTTCTTTTTATATTAATGGATACATTGGATTTGGGTAAGCCACTTGGCATAAAACAAATCAAACGTGTAGGCTACAAAATGTGAGCTAAATGAAGTGGTATGTACCAGTGTGGATAAACTATTGAATAACGAAGCAGTTTTAGAGAGAAAACTAGTGTTTGTTATTTTGGAGTGTAAAAACGATATTAGTCTGAGCTGTCAGTAAATTAGAATTGATCTGTAAATCAAAAATCGAATTATAATCGGTCTTTCAGTTTATTACCGGGGGACAACAAAAGGCTTATTATAATTTTTACCGTTTGGTATGTCTTAGATAAAATACTTTACTCGATTAGTCGGAGCACGAATCAAAAACGAACGAGAATATATTCCGAAAATTCGAACATCGAAAGATATAATGGTAAAAACGTTAAAGTTCGTATAAAATGTACACAGAAATCTTCTAGTATTATCCAAATCAGTCTAAGAGGGCTGATCAGTTCGAAATTAACCAATTAGCATGCTCCGACTTGATCTTGACTTAAGTATTCATATATGCTAACAAAAGTACGAAAAACTAATGAGTGATTTTTCCGGAATTTTCAAAGGACAAATCATAATGAACTTTAAGAAATTCAGTTACACTATTTCAGTTACATGAAGTTTCTTAGTTTGTATAGTTAACCTCCTTATCTAATAGAAAGTTTAGAGCACTCTGTATGAGTCTGTACCATGTTTTACTTTACGTCCTTTATCCTTGTGTAAGGTATCACTCCATGAGAGTATTATAATTTTGGGTTAGAATAATTTTATTTGTTTGGTCTATAAGATAATATTGATGATTTAATGGAGTTCATCATCGTTTCCGAAATCTTTAATGGGGCTTTTTATTGAAACAAAAGATAATCAGATCTTCAGTGAAATCGACCCACATGACACTACTTTGATGGGTCTTACCACCGATAAACCTAGTTGTGTGCAAACAGTGTCAAAAGAATGTGCTGATAACATTATTGTAACAGACAATAAAATTCAAATCTTCCGAAATGCTTGAGAACTCACCTGTAAAACACAAGCCATGCTTATAACTCTGAAATAAAAGCTAGATCAAACTATTCTATATTTGAAGAGCTCATTAATCCCAATGAAAGTGATCAAATGTCTCCTCACTACGTTACCAACAAATAGTTTAGGGTCAGTGAGGAACACTTATTGATCAAATCATAACATTCAGTTGAATCTGAAAACCCAATCAACAATATGTACGGAAGTGATAGGTGTGTAATATACTTGATACCTAAATTAATTTATAAAATGTTATAATGCAACTCAGTAGCTAAGTGTGAGTTTGCGTTTTTGGTGTTGAGCTAAAATTTTTGTTTGAGGGTGAGCGATACCACACAGCTGTTAAAACGAAGTAGGTTCAAACTTACAACTTGATCCTTTATTCATTAAGTCAGCAAATTTGCAAATGGGGAGATATTTTAACAGCTAATTGTTATCGTAATGATCTTGGATCAACTATTATATATATCATTATGATGAGTAAAAGTGAGACATTCAGGATGTGTTGTTGCTAGGATCGGGTGGAGTGTGAGGTCGTGTATTAATTCAGTATGATATTTCGTTCGGTATTAACACCTGTTTCTATAAAATTTGTTGTGTCAGTTAGGTGTACCAGTACGTTTTGCATACATTCAGTGTGGGATTCAGTAATGGATAATCAATTTAAGCAGACATGTATATAAATGAATGTATTTGTAAAACAAATGCTATATTTTGTTTGGATAGTGAAATAAAACTTCATCTTCTAACAGTGTCATTGTTTTCGCATAAAGACATCAATTTTGTCTGAATTAAAACCGTTCTTGATCATTCAGTCACTTAAGAGTATATTATGATAATTGAGATCTGTATCAGAATACAAGTATTACTAGAAGTAGTGCCAACAACGACACTGGAAAATCCATAAGTTATAACTCGGAAAACAAATTGTTTCTTATCGTCAAATCATTTTAAAATATATTTGGACATTAACCAAGTTATCAGAAAAAGGTATTACTTGTTTGGTTTCAAAAGGTTCCTCAACTTCGTGAAAACTACTCAGCAGTCGTATATCGGTGCATATTTTATGAACAGTTGCACCTATATTCGACAATACGTTAGTGATCTCACTATCTACCTTTCTTGGATAAGTTTGACCAGTTACACACCAAGAACGTTGGAATCCAGACTTTTTGGTTAAGATTTCGTCCAATTTGATAACCTGTAAAATAGAATTCACTATAAATAGCTGCTACACGACGCTAACACAATTCATATATATATATATATATATATATATATATATATATATATATATATATATATATCAAGTGAAAAGGGGAAGGTATTAGGATGGAGTAATGATTTAACTTAGTAGGATAGTTACGTTTCTTAATAATAACAACCCAATTCAATGATGTAAATTTTGTCTGGGTACTAAGTTACCGAATAATCAATATCTAGTATTACCCAATTCGATTTATTCAAATTCGAATATGGATTAGTATAGGCAAACCATATAAAACTCGGTATATTCGGACATGGTTTTCGATCTGTTTTGACACAATAAATCTTCATATGTAGTCTTTCTGCATTTTCCTCGTGTTGAGCCATATCAGTTTTTGTATAGATAAGATCACACCACTAGATAGGTATTAATTATCGGAGAATATGAAAATGATTGCTCTACACAACTAAACGAAAGCATTTCGTACAATGGCCGTACAATACATATTCGCCACAAAGACGACAGGAGCACGATAAAATATATGTAGTTAAATAACACCACGCTTTTTTTATGGATTTATTCAATATTATATTTTGGTACAATATAGAATTCTCAGCACACTTTATCTTTTGAGAGTATTTTTACGATAACCCTGAAGAATGACCGTAACTCAAGAACTGTATTCATTACTCTCTTGAGAGCCTATAAGACGTTGGGTACTTAAGGCAGAATAATTTGGAGCTAATTCGAAATAATCCGGCGTCAAAAATGAGAATCCTTTCGAAATACAATATATTTTATTTGAACGAATAATCATGGTACAATAAAAAGACACAAGAGTAAGAAAGCTAACCTTTTGATGATCACCTTGAAATAAATCCATAAAAGATGCTTGAGTTCCTACTGCACCCTTAGCACCACGAAAACGAATTGTGTGGTTCTTCAACCTTTCCAGATTCTCCAAATCTAATAACAAATCTTGTATCCACATACATATTCTACGACCCATTGTAGTAGGTTGAGCGGGTTGCAAATGGGTGCGGGCGAGGCATATTAAACTTTTGTGCAACATAGCTTTTTTAGCTAACCTGTCAATACATCTAGCGACCTTCGGTAAAAGTATATTTAGACCATCTTTAAGCATGATTAAGTCAGCATTATCGCCAACGAAACACGATGTTGCACCTGTGTATATATCAAAACCAAACAGGACAATATCAGTGATACACATAAATATATGCGTGTTTAGTTATTAAAATGTAGTTTGCTAAAAATGGTGTTTATGTTTTGAGAAGAAGCTAAAGAACTTAAATCTGCATATAATAGAAAAGAGACCTCAGAGGATAATATTGCTCAGGTACACGACTACCTGAAAACTCTGAGAGAAGAAACTGGACTTCAATATTTTGATGATTCAGAACTATCAGCTAATTTACTTCATTCACAAATGGATCCCATGAATAAGCGAATAGAACTAAACACGTATGGTTTGATTACATGCAGTGAAACAGCGGTATTATTGATTAGATAAACTTTACATACTACTAATTTGTTCATCTTCATAAAAGAGATTGCAAACCTTAAATCTAATTGAAAATTATACAGTGACCAAATAAAAAATTATAGAGGACAGTTGACAAACTTCTTCTCTTCCTCCTGGTGATCGACTGGATCGTGAAGACGTCAACATCTGAAGGGAAGCATGGGATACAGTGGACATCTAGGATGCAGTTGGATGATCTAGACTTCGCAGATGATCTGGCTCTTATATCACAAACACAACAACAAATGTAGGAGAAGACAACCAGTGTAGCAGCAGCCTCAGCAGCAATACGTCTCAATATACACAAAGGGAAAAGCAAGATTCTTCGATGCAACACAGCATGCAACAATCCAATCACAATTGACAGAGAAGATTCGGAAGATGTAAAAACCTTTACATATTTGGGCAGCATCATCGACGAACACGGTGGATCTTATGCAGATGTGAAGGCACGGATCGGCAAAGCAAGAGCAGAATAGTTACAACTGAAGAACATCCGGAACTCAAAACAATTGGCAACTAACACCAAGGTCAGGATTTTCAATACAAATGTCAAGACAGTTCTACTGTATGGGGCGGAAACCTGGAAAACTACGAAAGCCATCATTCAGAAGATACAAGTGTTTATTAACAGTTGTCTGCGCAAAATACTTCGGATCCGTTGGCCGGACACTATTAGTAACAACCTACTGTGGGAGAGAACAAATCAGATCCCAGCAGAGGAAGAAATCAGGAAGAAGCGCCTGAAGTGAATAGGACACACATTAAGGAAGGCACCGAACTGCACCACGAGACAAGCCTTCATATGGAATCTTCAAGGTCGGAGGAGGAGAGGAAGACCAAAGAACACATTACTCCGAGAAATGGAGATAGACATGAGGAAAATGAACAAGAATTAGATGGAACTAGAAAAGAAGGCCCAGGACAGAATGGGTTGGAGTGCTGGTCGGCGGCCTATGCTCCATTAGGAGAAACGGGCGTACGTAAGTAAGTAAATAAAAAAGTGATGTAGTGCATTATCCGTTATGAAATTTTCTGAAATTAGCAACTACGCTATACTGTGTTCATTAAACAGAAATATGGTACAGTACACAAAGAATTGCAATATTAGTGGATTCCATATGGGTTGTTACATTATTCTTATTCTTCCTATTATTATCAGTTAAGCGCATAAACACTGGTACAAGGGGCACCAAACAAATATGCGCCACCCTTCATCATTCGAATTTTGTGAAAACTGAAATACTGCCCGTGCGCCCACTTTTCATCCTCCCAATCCCGTTCACAAGACCTCTACTACGAGAAGGCAGTGAGAAGTACTTCTTTGACAGTGGCTGTATACACGTGGCCATGTGAAAGCATTTTGGGATGAAGAACGAACTCTCCCTACTCTAGGCCGTAAAGCTGTATTTCAGTCTTTTGAACACTTGGTAGTAAATTTAGATCAATTTTTGGCATTAAGAGCTTCAAGAATAAATTTGAGACTCAAAAATGTGAAGGGTGAATCCAAGCATCAATAACGTTACACTCTACACAGACACTATTTACAGAAGTAATAACAATCACATACAGTGCTGGTTTATAACTAATGTATCTTCATTGACTTATTTTTCCTATAACTAACTTTATTAGTGTCAGCTTTTATAGCATATTTATGGTAATGAGCTTACAATTAAATTGTTAGGGATCACACTAATATTTAAAAACAAACAATATTACCTTTCATTCCAAATGTACTTAGGTCTTAAAATTGTACAAACAGTTGAGCAGAAGTCTTTAGAATATGTGATTATCACTACGTACTGTGTGCATGCAGGTATTACCAGCCAGAAAGACAGGTCGACTAGTATTTAGAAACAGGCTTCCATTCTTATAACCTGAAATCCTGCTTGATACAGGCTTTCATTACTTTTCGACAATCATGTTTATTCTTCAGGCCCTAAAATACAAATGTTCTTACGAACGTCCTGTCGTAGTCTGATCCTCTTATTTCATTGTAACTTATGATGCTTGTTCAACACAACACAATGGAATACTGTTAGTAGGCTACTAAATGCCAGAGTAATACGATCATAAAATCAACTATATTTAACAAAAGTCGGGATATAATCATCGATTTGATCTCGATAACCAACTGAAAATTAGAAGATCGATTGCAATCTGGTAGCAGTTCAAAATCAAACTGCGAATGATTGTTAGACCTCAATATAATTCAGCGTCCAGTACAGTTTAACGATAAATTCTGATTACAAACAATTGGGACTCTACCGATACGAACGCAAAAGAATGGGAATTTAAAGAAATCAGATGACTGACACAACAATGCTTCTACGTTAATAATGCATATGCTTTCAGGATAGCTTCATATTCCCAACAAAAGTCAAAAATTGAAATGGAGAAAATCTGTCTACATAGTAAAGTCCAGTGACTTTGGGATGCAAAGTTGGCAGTCTAAAAATGATGATAACCAGTCAGATGATAGTAAGAGTCATTGTGGGAGAATGAATCAGGACAATGTTATTAAGGTTATCCTTTAAAAAACGAACTAGTATGTGATTATAGAAGCCAGATAGCCGCAATTCTCCTTAGCAAAAACACATTACTACTTAAAAATATCGGTAGTAAACACAACTTGTAATTGGATTCGCACATACTTTTAGTTTAAGCTGTGTATATAATAAAGTCATGAATTACGTTTTTATTTTGCACCCACCAATTGTGAGCTTACTTTACACAAAATAGGCATGCCTTGTGTCCCAGTATATGGATTGAACTCTGATTATATTGCCAGGTTTTAGCAAAAGTGAAACTAACATGTTGTTTTATAAATCCTGCTTCAGTTTGGACACCCAGGCAGTATCACAGCCCCCACAGAAACCAATGGTAACTACTGCTGGCCTCATTGTTATTGTGTGGCGCATATATATTTGGTGCCCCCTTGTACCAGTGTTTATGTGTTCAAATAGATAAAATGTTTTAGAAACCATAACCAATTAACTAAAAATAATATTTAGAAGGTAAACTTGCCGAGGTGAATGATTGGTGCAGCTTTTGGACAAGCTAAAGCAAAAGTGTATACATGTGCCATCACGTCATGTCGCCGAGCCTTTTCTTCAGCTGCGGCAGTCCCGAAATCGACTAAATCTCTTTGACTTTTCATTTCATCAATCTGTTCGTCTAAATCAGTGTTGAAGAGTTATATAATAAAACAACAATCCTGTGAGTGGGGAAATGCATAACTTAGATATGAGAAATGAATCAAGATGGATAAAAGTTGACTGACTGAACTAGATAGGCTATCCCTAATAGCCAAAGCAATACAAGTACAATATAGGCATGGAATGTCACTTGACAAATAAAGATTTGGAAAAATAGTAAACGACATAGTGCTGAATCAGGTATAAAGGAATTAAGCCACACACTGTTTATCATTGGGGAAATGACAATTTACAGGTTAACAACTGTCAAGCTGAAAAGCGAAATGCCCAAGGCTCTCTCTCTCTCTCTCTCTCTCTCTCTCTCTCTCTCTATATATATATATATATATATATATATATATATCTTTCGCTTAACTGATATCCAATACGAGAAATTCTCATATCTATAGGTAGCATGAAAAAATGTGTGGCACGTGTACTAAGCTTATCTACAATCACTACTAGGTGTAGCTTTAAAGGTGATAATGAAGAACCTGAAAACAGACATCACTACGTGCTGTATTATTACTTAGTTTGATGCTGCAAATATTACAAGAACTCAGCGAATAAAGTACTGAAGGAAACCGTTTTCAAATTGTGTGAACCTCTACAGCTAATTTAGTTTCCGAATCAAGATGTGAGATTTCTTAACTACAGATACGTTAGGTATTGGCATTTATAAACACATGAAGATTCTATCTTAGTCTATGGAAAATATGCTCATTATCCAACTAGAGTTTGATGATAGCTTACCTGTGATATCGAACCCCAACTCTTTTTGTGTTTCTGCTAACCATATCCACAGTTGGCGCCAGAGGATTACTTTTCGTTTTTCTCCGAAATTGCACACCATTTCACGGCTTGCATATCTCTTAGTAAGTGGATTTCTAAATCACTGAGATATGAAAACAGTCACATACCTGTACTCCTCGAATTCATCCATTTGGAGTATAAAACAGATTCTACAAAAAGGGACCAAACAGTTTGGATTTAGTGTGGACAACGCAAATACCTGTAAAAGCTATGGACGAAACTGGCAGTTTCTCAGTTGCTAACGCCGTAATAAGACACGATGTCTAAACTTCTACAGTGTTGAAACGTGGATGGTAATCTATAGACTTAATCATTAGAATTAATTCTCTTTTATCACTAAAGGATTTATGCCTTTAATATATGAGAAGAGGAAAACCATAAGCGCAGTCCTAGTTAGTTTATTTGAAAGCCTCGCGTACCATTACCGACTTTCGAGCAGCATTCAACACATCACTTTTCAAAGATTAGTGGCCTAACATGTACTATTTTATAAATTCCAAATTATAGTGTCAGAAGGTCATTGTACTATTTAGCGATAGCTGTCAGCTGACCATTAGTCTAGTTGAGAGAAAAGTAATAGGGATACGCGAAATGATTTTACTGTGCCCCCGATTAAATATTAAGACCTACTACAACAATAAAAACAATATTTGTAGCACTGTATATATTTGTAGACTGTAAACTTGAGCTTTTCTCTGCTACAGTTTTTAAGTCTGATATTGAGACGCAATACAAATTCGTACCATGGAATGACAAGGCGCCTTGTCATCCCACAATGTTCATTGTGGGATCATATTAATAAGTGAGAAGTTAGAAAAATCAAGCTGAAGGGGCAGTGGAGCTTCAAGACTTTTTGAAACTGGGAAAGAGAAATGAAGTATCTTATAACGTAGAAACATCATCGATTATGCGAAACAATATGCTATTAATTTGAAAACTCTGAAGTGCTGTACAACATCAAATACGGTTACTTCGAATTGGCTCACCGATCGTTTAATAGGAATGCTTGTAATATTAATCACGCACCTTTAACCTTGAGTTTGGTCTGCGCGGTTAATTTGCAAGGTGAAATATGATTTTGCGTTAAGCAAACTAAGTTACAATCACAGTTAGTTTTATGTAATATTTATGTCAGACGTATGCACATATTATGGTTATTCTTTGTTTGCATTCGTATTTTTAGATATTCACCAAACGTAATTCACTCGAGCGATCATGGACTTAATAAAAATATCTCTGGCTTAGCGAGCATCCTCATCTAGTAGAAGTGGATCACCGGTGCCTCCATTTTAGAACCTGCAGCGGTAAATAAATCTTCTCTGTAAGTCTTCAACATCTGATGCCAACCTCACTAGTTTTACTGAACTTACTCAACTGAATGTTCTCAGTCTCGCATCCGCTCCATATCGCAAGTGGATACGCCGTGCTACGCATCCCTCCCAACTATTAGCCAGCTTAAATCAATCTTTCCTCCACATGCCAACAGTCTTCCAAATATACCTTCGAAATTTTTTATTTTTGACTAGTTTGGAATACTTTGATTATAAAGGTGTTACTGGTAAATGCATTATCAACTTTCGGATACTTGTGGTATCATTAAACCCATGTATATCAAATAAACGAAGGAGAAACATTCACAAATTGCAGCGAAACATTGTTTTGATTCCTTTGTAATATGTGAATTTTACCCTTGATGGACCTATAGGAAGTGGCTTGAATTACCTTAGTCAACAGCGAATTCAAGGATTTAACTACTAGCAAAAATCACAAAATATGTCCACAGCTTACTGTGCTTAATCGCGCTTTTGGGTTCTGGGCGTTGTCCCTATTGTTTGTGTTGAATCATGCTGTAAACTATCTGCAGTTAGAATTTGTGCATTCAACCACAGTCCGAAACACACAGAACTGACTCTGTTTAAATGAATTTTACCAATAGAGAGATTTCTGGGCAAATTCTTAATGTCATTTGGGGTAATTCACTTCAGAACGCCAAATAATATAGAATTTTGATAGCTATGATATATCTTATGCTTTCATATATTTTAAACTCTATGCCGATAAGTAAAAAAATAAGTTGATTGTTCCAAGGATAATAAGATATGGATTTTAGTTTAAGCTCTGAAACTTTAGAAAAATTATATAAGAACCGAAAGTGGGCATGAATTTGATCATCTCTGTATAGTAGTTGTTTATTATTAATTTAGTTTCTGCAGATTTAAAACATTTATAGCTTTATGATAACATGTCTATCTAGTTCACAATAATGGATATGGTCAATACAAACAGTCTATATATATTAGAAATTTCGTTTAAATTTGATCGAACAGTTTCACAGTATTTGGGCGACGAGTTGATGTGAGACATTAAAGAGGAAGAACGTATTTGTACTTTGAATTCATTCTTCCTGTTTAACAGTCTATATAGTTTTGTATGATGAGAAGAGTTCCACCAATTTGTTGTAATTCCAATGAAATACTATCAATTCAAAATATCAGTACTAGTTAAACTGAACCAATAACATCCGAATCGATTATTGTAAGTCATTTTACTCAAGCTTATGTTCAGTTTGTGGTGCAACATACTGGTAGACTAATATGTGAAAAGTAGGTGTAAATCAAAATTCTACTGAAATTAAATTCCTTCAGTTATTCAAAACAAGACCAAATAAATATTTTTTTAAATTTATTTTCCAAACATTCCTCACATTTTGCCATAGTTTCAAAGTGGTTGATGTTACAGCTTAGATTGAACCATTAAAATCAATACTCACTAATCGTGAAGAAAATACTTATTAAACTGGCGAAATATTTATTTCATTTCATAAAACTCCTATTAATCAGATACATTACGGCTAAACAAGTCTAAAGAATCAATAATATCCAAAATCATTTTCGACGACTACTTCGCGATTTTTTTATTTATAAAATCTTGAAATGAAAGTAACAAAGGCTCATTATCACATAATTCGTGATTAATTTAAGTAACTTAAAAGAGTTGAATGTGAAATAATCTCGAAGATGGTAAAAATAGATTGTTTTCCTCGTCAAATCGTATAAAAAAATTAACCTCTTTTTTTCTCTGTTTTGCGTCACTGTTCCTCATTTCAATTTTTCCTTTCATCATATTTATTTACAAGTCAAACAAATTGCATAAGCATCACTTATCATTCATTTATACTTTCAAACAATAAACGGAAAAAATCAATAGGTAAATAAGAATTCTTTATTATTTTTAAAAGTAACACTAATGTTGACCAATTAATTTTATGCAAACAATATTATTCTTGCTACTACTACTACTACTACTACTACTACTACTACTACTACTACTATTGATACTAATACTAATATTAACATTACTAGTCATAATAATAAATCAAGTTTACACTGAAAATTATCATGAAGAATCTAAATTTATCATATATATTATTCTAAATAAACCACTTGAAGAAAGAGAGCAAATTAGAATTCGGCAGAAAGTCATTTATTATCACAGGTTATTTAAAATCAACATTGTTATTTATTTATTTAGGTGGTTAACATGAGAAGATTTAAATTGTTGTTTAAAATTCCTAAATGTTTTCCATTTAGAATATTCTAATTTCAGTTTTCTATGGATGATAATTATTGTACTAATAATACTTAACAAATGTGTTACAGAACAATTAAAAGGGAAAGAATATAGTAAAGTTGATAAGTTATAGTTTAAAATAACTTATGGATTAAATTTTGTTTATCGTTTTCACATTTCATGTAAACACTGTTTTCACAGAAATCAAACCATGAAAATTGTTTAAGTGTCTGAAAGAAATTATCAGTTAGAATACAACTTTGTACAGAGAATACGTTTATTTTAAGTGTCAGTGTAAATTGATAATACCAACATTGACTTAAGTTTACAGTTACTACATTCGGTCAATGTTAACACCAAAAATCGGAACATCTCTTTTAAAGATAGTTAAATAAGTAAGTTTTTAATTAAAGTATTTCATACAATTAGTTCGTTTCATAACTCTTTTAAAAACAAAAAAACCTACACATTTAAACGGTTTTATTAACTGTTTGCCAAAGTTTTTTTCTAATCACTGTTTAAAGATTTTTGAACTGTTCACAAACTACCACAATATAAAATTGTTGTTTGATTAAAATGATCTTTCTTTAATCTGTAAAATATTGACGTGTGTAATAAATAGTTGTTTAGTTTATCGGAAGAATCTATCATTATGCATTAGACCAAAGAAATAGTGCTAAGAATCTTTAGAGATTTTGTTTTCATTGTGTTTTGCAACATACACTTTCATATAGTGTAATATTTGCAAGTATCTCCGAGTAAAACGATTTCAAACTTACCAGAATAGGATTGTGAAGATTGTTGAGTTCTAATTGAGATTATGAATCGACTGATGTTGGACCACCATAAGCACCTATGAGCACTGGATAGATGTTTTGTCCTAGTATGAGACTCTTCAGCAGTGCGCATCCACGACTTTTCACCCACAACTCGAACTCAGGACCTTCGATCTCGCGCGTAAACATTTAATCTCTAGACCACTGAGCTGATATCCAGCATCTCAATGCCTAACTTAGACCACCATCTTCTATTGTCTTTGGTGGGCATCGGAAATATATGGATATAAATATTAATACATCTATTTCCTTGATGACACATAAAAGCATGAGGATGAATATGAGTTGTATTGTTAATTTGTTTCTCTATGGATTATTCCATAAAAACATTGATATAATATTGTTTCATTTGGCATTTGCAGGCCTTTTGTAAATTGGGTTATAAAGAAAACAAAAATCTTTATTAACGTAAAGAAGAAAACGGCAGAGTAATTTGCATGTTATAATACTAGCACAGATTCTTTTATAATTCCAACAAAATATATCTGTTTATTTTGGTTGTATTTCCGTTATTATTAGATTTATTTTATATTTGCATTTTCATCTCATTCTTTTCATTTATAACCGTGCTTAAACTTATTAGTTACCCTCATATATATATGCGCACTCACAAAAGAATTTATCAAGAGATAGGTAAAAGTGAATTAATGGTGAACAGTTAAATTCATCATAGTGTTCTTGTTGAAAAGTTGAATAGTAAAAATCGATTAACGAAACAAATAAATTATATTATATATGAATATAATCATAATTATATATTGAATTTTATAAGTTTTCGTGACTTTGCCATCTTGGAGTTTAGTTAGAATGCAATTACAATCAGTAATAAGCACTGAATAACTGTTCTGAAGCAATAATACTTTACAACAAGTTATAATTTATATACTGTTTGCTTATTTATTAACTAAATCAAGTAGTGATGATGTCTGAGTTTACTGTAATTTGTGCTTAAGAAAGTTTTAAAAAGTTGACTTGTATATGAACATGCTAAGAAATAATGATCGTAGTGAGTACCATGTGCTCACTAGTGACTAGCTTTGTGAGGGAATTTTCGAAGTTCTAGTGAGAAGCCGTGACCTTATACTGATACTCGTAATGAGTACCTCTAACTAATAATCAATACCTGGTTTTTATTCATTGATACAATCATTTTTCTTTCTATACGAAACATTTTCAACCAATATAAAGTAATACATATTTACAACTACTTCAATATGATATTTCTGGCCAATAATATTGATCAATTTAATGATGTCAGCTAGTATTTCACAATGATTTCTGAAGTATTAGAAAATCATTGTGAGCAAAACTAGATCACTACTGAAAAAAGCAGATTTAATTATCCGAGAATGTACGAATGAAAATTTTCAATGGATGTTATATTCAGTAGTTGATACCAGTTTTAATTTGATTAAAATAAATGTCAAAAAAATCGAAGTGGTAAGATAATTAAATTTAATAATCATTTTGACAATGTAAGTGTTGGATTTGAATACTTTTTATGCTGATAAGTGTTATCATAAATTTTTTAGAACGCTCTAAAATTAAGCGAATAACTGATGGAGACATACCATGCTAGTATGTCTAATATACCAATGTAATTTGTATCCGAATACAACATTAAGTAAAGAATTATTAAAAAAGAAAGCATTAGACG